TAGGGAAAGTAAAAAATATTGAAAAGTGGGCTAATCTAGTATAGTAGTGTGAGTCCTTGAGTCTGACTGTACGTGTCTCTGCCACGTACCAGCTGTGTGATTGCAGGCAAGCTGTTTAACCTTTCTAAGCCTCAATTTCTCATCTGTAAAATGAACAGAAAATGTTAGCCACCTAATGGGGTCGCTATGAGGGTTAAATGAAATAATAATCTTAAAATACCCAAGGCAGTGCCCAGGCACATGGTAAATTCTCAATATTTATCAGATACAAATAGTACCTTTATTGAGGACAGACAAGGGGAAATGGGTAAAATAGAATAGAAAAGACTTGGTTGATAGGTAAAGAAGATATTCCTAACAGTATAGGCTTTAAAACATTATAAAATAGTAGTGCTGGGGATGTCAGAGGTGGAAGGGGTCTTAGCAGTCACTTCATTTGTTGTTTTTAGAGGTGAAATTGAGGTTGAGAGAAGGAGAGAATCACCTGATGGCTCAGTGACTGATCGGAGAAAACAGTCCTGGTCTTCAGACTCATCCACGAAGTCTCTCACTGTGCTGAAAATGCTTTTTCCAGGAACTCAAGGGCATATTTTTCTCCGTAGATTGTTGTTTACTGTAGATGTATTTCAGTTTGGGGGTAGAGGGATTTGTGACCATAGCTTGTTTACCCATTTTCCTTGATTGTATAATTGCTTGTATTTTGACTAGATTGTTTACTTACCACTTTCACAATACTGCATTACAAAGAGATGCCAAAATTTAGCCTATGGCTAAGAGCTCATAAGCTCTCATAATCATTGTTGAAAAGTGTGATCCAATTGAAGAAGGAGGCTAGTATAAATGGGCTTGGTGTAAGACACTGGGAAGAATATGGACTGGGTGGTCACGTAGACCTGGATGCCACCTCTCCATCTCACTGTCACCACCCTGAGAAAATCGCTTAACCTCCATGACCCTCAGTTTCTCATCTGTAAAATGGGCTAATAGTACTTTGCAGAACTGCTGTGAGGATTGACAGAGATAACTCCTGAAGAAGGCCTTCCATGTGGTAGGCACTCAGTAACTGGTAGCTACTATTACTAGAAAGGACAAGACTGAAGTAAAGGGAAAAATAAGACATTTGCTCCATACATAGTCTGGTCTTAACAAAGAGGAAACCACAGGGATACCCACCGATACAGAAAGCTCCCTTCATCCTTTCCTCCTCGGCCAGCCTGAGCATGGTTTGCATGGTGAGCAGGGTCATCATCATGAAGGGAATGCTCTGGGACACTGCAGTGAGGAATCGATAAGCATTTCAAGACTTCGTAGGGGAGGCAGATGAGGTGCAGCGGGAAGTTGTTCTCTATCCCTCCCCCACTGTAATGCCAGGCTGTAGTTAGAGAATCAATCTGTAGTTAGAGTACCTTAAAATAAGGTACTGGCTATACGGCCATCTGTACCTGTTGCTTAGTAGCAATTACTTACTTGAATAATTATTTTATTTATGTTCGTCCCTCCCACCAGAAGTTGCCTGTATCCCCAGGGCCTAGCACAGGTGATAGGTGCTCAATAAGTATCTGTTAAATAAAGTGGTTTAGAAAAGAACAGCCTAGGAAACCCTTACTTCATGTAAGAGTTGAGTGGTTTGCAGAATACGGCTTGTGGAAAATGTGCTTCTGCAAACACAAAGCCAGACGAAAGGGAAAATGAGGGTGGGAGAGAGTCCAGACAAATTCAGAGCAGTGTGGACCCGTGACTGGCCAGCAGGCTCATCTATGCTCATAAACAACAGCCCAAATGCCGCTATCAATATTCTTTAGTATAAAAGAAGGGAGAGATCCTCTCCCTTCTGCTGTTTGCTCCCATTTGGGTTTACACAATTAGAATGATTGTTCCCCAGGGAAAATATGGACACTATTCCCTCCGTACCGAAGCTCTTTGCCAGTTCAGCCAGGGCAAGCACAACGAATTCATTTGGTAGCTCCAGGATCCTGAAGTTACTTTGTACTTCATACATCACAGAGTTGAAATCATGTGCAGCGAGAGACACCAACACCTCCCCAGCTAGCATTCTGATTTCTCTGAGGATCTGAGGAAGAAAAGGAAAATAACAATAACAGCTAGGAAGAGCAGAACGAGTCAGAAGAGGGGAAATATTGATAGTTTACATAATATTTATAAGTTCCTTAGCTTTTCAATAGAGGGAGAACAGGCTGTTACAAACCCAGCGTGTAAGACTCTAGGGTAGGTGTCAGTAGCTGGGAAAGCAGAGGTAATTCAAAAGCACCTCAAAGCCAGGTTTTAATAGGATTCTTGTAAACTTGGGGCAATACATGTTTTCTTGTTAATTAATCAGGTACCATGAACGTAAGATTTGCATTTTATGTTGAAGTGATATGAATTACTAAAGGGAATGGAGAACGAAAAATGGGCTAGGATTTGGGCTATAAAAACCCAAAGCTAGCTAGAGATTTGGGTTTTAGTATTGTCCTGATCTAATTATCCTTGATGTTGGAGATATTTGGAGGGACTTCTGCTTTTGGTAATAGTGAACAAGATCAATCTGATCAACTTTCCTGCTCAGGAAAATAAAAAGTGCTGGGCAAGATGTTAAAAAATATACTCATAGAAACATCAAAGAGATCACAATATAAGGTGGAATGAATTACTCAGTTGAGATCTGGACAAGACTGGAAATCCAGAGAGATAAGCCCTGCTTTTGAGGCTGCTTTGTAGCGTTTTGGGACAGTAGTCAGAATTCAGGGCCAACCAATGGTGAGATCCTGATCATCTCACCTCTTATCTTTTGGGCTAAGACCTCAAAGGGCTGCATTGATATGAAAGGTTAAATAGGCTCTCCACAGACTGTAGTACAACATTGAGTCACAGAAGTTACCCAGAAAAATCTCAAGCCCTGAAATTAATCATAGATTGTTTGTGCCCTTGGCAGGTAAACAAGTAAAAATTCTTTCTGGAAGGAAATAACATTATTTTAAGACTCAAATTATTTCTACAAATAATTTTTCAGACACAATGTCTAGTAGATATAGACAAGTAGGCACGAGAAGAGATACGAATTCATACGGGAGCCAAGAAACTTTGGTTCTAGTTATTTGTTCTGTCAGTAGATAGCTGTATTACTTTGCAAACAATCTCTCTAAGCACCAACTTCCTCATCTACAAGTGGATGGGATATTACTCCTAAAGACTTTCTTAGCTCTACCTCGGTTTCCTCATCTGTGTTGGGGTAAATAATATGTGCTGTGACTGTATCCAGGTTACCATGAAGAACTGATAAAAGTGACCTGTGGTCCTGGCAGTGATGTAGAAAAGTTTATGGATGTCTGCATGGGTGCAGTTGGGTTAGGTAAAGACCTGTTGCTGGTCCTGACACTGACTCATCATCAAGGATGAAACTTATATTGTCATCTCTCATGTCCTTAGAAGTGTAATAAATCAACCTTTGGACAATTGCATCATCCAAGACATCAGTATTCTGAATAACGGAAGTGAGATGACCATAAATGTCTTCCTGTGAACATACAAGGTTACACACAGAAATTTGAGTTGCAAAACTAAAGGAGTCAGATAAAGTCCAAATGAATAACACTGTTAAACTAAGCAACATATCTCTACTACACAATGGATTTTATATATCCTAAGTGGGACTTCCTTAACATAATATTTATCTTTAGGAATCAAAGGCTTATAGGTAAAGCAAAGTTCATTCTAAAACCTATTTTAATTTGACTACATTTCTATGGCAAAATCTAACTGAAGGTAGGGGTGGGCTACCCAACATACTAAAGTCTCTTGAAATTCACTGTTGTAGGGCACTCAGGGCAATGGAAAACCGAGTTGTTGCTCCTACTACCAGAGAGTGACTGTGGCATTAAGGAACGCAATGCGATTCCCAAAGAGGCTGCTAAGTTATGAAACTTGTTCCTAAAGGGGATTTATAGGCCCTTCCTTCCTTCATGCCTTTGTGGAGAAGTTGTAAATCCTTTTCCACAGAGCTGCAGCCTTTGGCAGTTATATGGCTTGGCAGATGCTGGTGTGTGAGGGCTCTTCTCAATCTCTTAGGTGGCCACATGGCCTTCAGAAGATGAGAGACTGGTGTCCTGAAATCTCCAAGAGCCTCAGACATGCTACCTTGAGGTACTATGCCTATGTTTAACGTGTGAAATAACTCGCTTTGCTTAAGGGATTCTAATATGGAGTCAGGGTTGAGAACCACTGGATTAAGGGATAAAGGTGTAGGCACTGCCCTTCACAGGGAAGCTATGTTGAATAATGATTAGGAGCATTATTTTGGAGTCAGACAGGCTTGTGTTTAGATTTAGTCCTGCTGTTCTTAGGCACGTAACTTCTCTGCACCTCACTTTTCTTAGTTGTGAAATGGAAATAACAATACCTACATCATAATGTTGTGAGGAGTGAACATAATACAATGCGCTATTGTTTAGGAAGCATCTAGCTCTCTCCAGCCTTAGGTAAGTGTTCAATGAACAGTAACTGTTGTTATTTTACAAGAGGTTTTTGAAGCCAGAAAAGCCTTCAAATTCAGAGAAATAAATCTCTAATTGTGAAACAGCATTACAGATGAGTAGGGGGAGATATTTGGGGATTTTCATAGGAGCCCTCAAATTCCTTACAGGACATTTGGTCCTGTCCAAAACGTTCATAAGACATTTGGTCCACACCAAAAAGTCCTTGACATGTTTTGGACAGGACCAAATGTCTGCTAACCCTCAAATTCCACAGGAGGAGGCTCTAATCCACATGGTTGTAAGTCTGACATCTCCCTTTTTCCACATCTATCTGTGTAAGGTTATGTAAGGGGGCATTCTTTTGCTAGCTTCTACAGTTGGATACTCTGAATCCTCAAATGCCAAATATCATTGTTTAAACATTACAATGACTTCCATTAAAACTGCATTTTCTGAAAAACTGAATGCCACTTAAGAAGTGGGCGAGCAAAGGGGAAGTTGAAGCAAAGAACGATGTAGATGAAATGTTGCATTAACTGGATTAGAAAAAGTGAATGGGGAAGAGACTTTTCTCTATTTTCCTTACCTTGCTAATATTATCTTCCTTGTTCAGCATGCCGAGAGTGAGGTTAATCTCTCCAAAAATCTCTAAAATGGGCAGGAAAAGAAGAATTAAGAACATGCTGAAATGCCCTCCTGTGAATTACTGTGCTATGGTTACCTCTCTCTCCTCTTTCTTTCCTCTCTCCCCTTCTCCCTTTCTCCTACTCTTCTCTTTCTCTTGACTGCCACCTCTTTGATGGCAGGAACTGTGTCTTATTCATATTTCTTATAATTGACATACTTGAAAATAGAAGATGCTTAGTATTTTTCAAAACCTGAATTAAACATGGAGGGGAAGATAAAAGATGCTAGATCCCTGGTTATCTCTCCAGTCATGTAGGCATCACCCTATATCTTCTTGAGACAGACTCAGCTCTCAGGTTCCATGAACTGAATCCCTTACACCTGACTTGAGTAGGGGAGGGCAAGAGTGTAATAGAGCTTGTTATTTTCCACCTCCTTCCTCATTGCCCCCACCCCCCAACTTATTTACTCACATCCTCTTTCTCTCTGACTTCCCTCCTGGCCCTCTCAGGTCCCTCTTCTGGTATCATGCTCATGCAACCTTGTTCTTTTCTGATAATGATCTAAATATTTTTGACTTGTACCTTCCAGGAATTATTTGAATAAAGCTTGTTGGAAAACTGAAAACACATATATGAGTCCAGGGAATTGAGCAATTTCACACCACATGGCAAGTTGGTAGAAGAGATATTTCTCGATGTAGTGATTTTCCACAAGCCTCCAGATCAAACAACATAACCCTTTAGAACAGTCTTTTTTAGCAAAGCAGAATATTTCCAAAGGACTCTGCCAGTATTGAAGATTAAATAAGAAACTGCCTTTCTTTGTGTTGTAGCCCCACTTTCTCCTCAAGTAGACTATACATTTTTAAAGAAGGTAGGACACAATCATCATTGGTTCTTTACAATCCATGTGATTTTATTATTTTGGAATAAAGGGAGAGTAGAGAGAAACAATCTTACTTTAGCATAGCTTTTCATAAAACCGTTTAAGGTGTACAGATCTCCCTCAATGATGTACACCATTCCTCACCTCACATATGCATATCGTCACACAGATGCAAAACACCTAATTCCTGAGGATCCGGCGATGCTCACCTGCAGATTCCTCTGTGTCCTTGGCCATGTCTTGGTTGTTTCAGGCTCTCTAAGAGACAGCACCTAAGTATCAGAAATAATAAGGCTAACAAATCGAAGAAGCAGGTTGGCAAGTTTCTCACATAAGGTTCACATAAGGGCCTCTAAATGAAAGTCCCTCCACCACTTGATTGGCACAATGATCTGGAAGCTTCCAGTGATGGGCTGCTGCTGAGAAAGATGATGCTGTATTCTACCACTACATTTTCTTGCTTCTGAGCTCCTGATGACCAGCAAAATGGCTTCATCTCACTGAATAGTGTCCCTTTGGTGGAGACCAGAGTATCTGAGAAGGAAGAAATTAGAGACTGAAACTCAAACAATTTTGGTAGACCAAAGGAGTTCTTTCCCCTAAGCCTGGGTCCATTGATCACAGATTTGGGAATGGCTTTCAGTGGTCACTATACTGGGCTGGTGTTGGTCAAGCCTTTATGGTGATCTTGTTGATTGTTCTGCTTGGTGAAAGTCAGTCCACAAACTGGACATGCTCAGTGGACCAGAATGCCTATCAGGTGCAGTTGAATGGAACCTCCAACTGACAGCAGCAAAGCAAAACCTTCTCAGCCTCCCTCGCTTTCTCAGCCTCCCTCGCTTTCTCAGCCTCCCTCTCTATGTCCCCTATCACTGACTTGATCTGGATGCTGCCCTCACTCCAGGCTCAGGCTTTTTTCTCTGACTCCATTCTCTCTTCTTGTTTTCAAATCATTCTTTATCTAGACCTCTTGGCTATAATGCTTTCAACTTTACTAGTACCTCAATCTGTTCTCAGCTCCCCCCCACCCCAATCCTAAACCTGTATACAATTTCCAATGTATGTCCAGATTGTATGTTAAGGTGGCAGATGTCAGAGAGTAGGAACTGGGTACCAGCAATCTATAGGTCTGGGTGTGAAAGGTGCCAAGGAGAGGGGCTCATGACTGTTCTCAGCTGCTGCTTCTCCAGCTGTCATCTTCCCTTCATTAAGGATATTTCCGATTCAAAGTTTAACTGCTTCCAACTAAACCTTTGGACTCATCTTCCTTTTCATAGATACTTTGCTCTGGATCTATTACAGAGGTCTTCAGTAGGCTGGTGGTTAAAAACATTTTCAGCTTCCCAAGTCAGCATCACTGTTTCTCAGAGTGTGGCCCACAAGTGTCTTGTAACAGTTGTCCTTATTTAATCTGGTGTCCATATTTAAAATATCCATTCCCAGGGATACCTTACACCCGGTAAATTACAGCGGGGTTTGGAATTTGTATTTTTAATGAGTACCCCTAGTGATCCTTAGGTTCACTAAAGTCTGAGAGGCACTGGCCGAGATCCTTGTGCAATCACCCACTAGTGGATAATTGAGAATTTAACACTTACTTGAAGGGTGTTCATTGAGTTTGGGCAAGAACAGCAGCTGCTCATCTCCAGAACCGTGACTCACTCACCCACTGGAGAATAGACCACGAATTAGTGGGTCAGAGAGGTAACGAGGTGATGAGAGGCAACCCAAATCCTTTAATGTCTTATAGGGAAATAAAAATGTTGGAAATGATGTACCCTTAGAATCTTAAAGAACAATGTACAGTAGAATCAATACTAAGAAAGCCAGCCATTTAGGTGATTGTTATAATCAATTTCTTACTCTTTTCGTGAATTGTGACAAATGATTTTTTCGAGTGTCTGTACATAAAGATTTTCTCGATTTCATAGAGATTTGGGAAGCTAGGAAATGATTGATTTATACTGACTGTGTAATTTATTCGTCAGGACAATCAAAACATCTTTTTTGCTAAATATTCTTTCAGATAAAGCAATTTACCCATCAACCTCTCTTTTCATAAGGTAATATTGCAGATAGATTTTTTAAAAAGTCATTTTCCCATTATTTCCTACTGTTTATGCTAAGCTAGCACAATATGGGTTTGATTTCTCTGAAGCCCTAGAAGCGTGCTAAACCCTAATTCTCAAAGCTAATAGGATGGCAGGTGCTAACTGATGAAGTATTGTTTCTAGATATATGATTGCAGGGGAGTTGATATTCAACTTGCTAAAGAACTGAGGTGTCTCCCTGGGTATAGTGTAACCACTTCCTTTCAGTGTGACTTGTCAAACGATACTACCCAACCCTAGGAGTACTATGCAGTGTTATCGGACAAGAATATTAATAAGGCAATAAAGGAAAAATATAAAGCTATGGGAGAATAGATATATGAAAATATTATCAAAATATAGAAATTTAAATTTTGTGAAAATAAAATTTTAAATTTTTGCGGTTTTAATGGTTTCATCATAGAGTATAATTCATTTAAACCTTAACATGAATCTTTTTATTCTTTAAAAGAAGTGTTGGATTTTATAAAAGATATTAAAAATGAAATTAGGCTCTGAAGTTTTTGGGTTTGTTTCATGATGTAAGCCTAATTCCTTGTACTCTAGTACATAAACAGGCAATGAATATGAGATGGCAGTTTCATACAGAAGTAGATTAAATATGTCTCTGTTGTAAGTGGGCTCCCATTTTCCTCTTTTTATTTTCCCTTCCTCTTTCCTTCCTTCCTCCTCCCTCTCCTCTCTCTCCTGTCTTCTCTTTGCTTCTCTCCTCCTCTCTGGTCTCTCTTCCTCTCTTCCTGTTTCTCTTCCTCTTTCTTTGCTTTTTCTTCTTGTAGTAAACAATAACAACAAAAGAATGATGTCCAGTATAGTTAAGTGTGGTTCAATTCAACACACATTTACTGACTACTTGTTGGGCAAGAAGCCCCGTGATGGAGGTGCATGGATGTACCATCATGAGAGGTCACGTCCTAACCTCAAGGAATTTGCAATCTATGGGGAGAAGCCAGTCCACTGACACAACTAACTGAGAAATGATCCAGAGTAGTGATAATTATGCTAAGGCATAAACAAAGAGCGTAACGAATTGTGAATTCTGTCCACAGAGCACAAGGGTAGTGCTTGAGACGGTCTTTGAAAGTAGAGATGAGCCCTCTGGACAACATACAGAGAAACTCATCTTCTTTCTCTAAGTAGAAGACAGCAGACCCTCTAATTAACCTATTTCTTCATCAATATGAATAGTGAACATAAATAATAACATTTTCTTGATTTTTTTTCTATTTATTTACCAAAATTTAGACTGCTATTCAAAGCAAATGTACAGTGTTCAGCCATGATACTATGATAAAATATATATTCAAAATACTTATTTTTTCTTCAGAGCAGAATTCATATAGGAAACAAAAATAAAATGAAGAAACAGTATGAGATTTGGAGTTCAGAAACTTGGATTGTGTCTAAATTCTGCTACAAACTAGTTGTATTACTCTGGGAAAAATCAGTCTCTCTGGACGGAGTTTGAGTTTTCAGTTGCAAAGATGAAACGATCAGGTTAGTTAACATAAACATCATTCCCTGCATGAAGCAACTTTTTTTCACTTTCTCAGTGGTACCAAAACCAGGTATACTGTTGTTTTTAATCCCTAAACAACAAACTTATAAATGAATTGTATGGACTGTGCCCTTTTGTGGATAGGGAATTTCTGATACTCTTCCCCACATAAACCCAGCATGGAGACTTCCTTCTTCCTTGCACTGATAGCAGCAGCCAGTGATGTAGAGAGAAGAAGTTGGAGGAGCATCTAGGGATTGAATACAAGGCAACCAGCATTGTGGACAGCAAAGGAAGACACATGAATGTACTTTCACAAAGCCTCATAAAATGACTTGAGCCTCAGTTAATGATTCTTGATTAATAATCCTCAAGAGACATGAGCTATGAATTGCTAATCTGAAACATGTATAAACAGCAGTTACTCTCCTGTATATTATTAAGCATGCTGCATTTTAAAATTGAGGCTATGGTTTTAAAGTCATCCCTCAGGAATTCAGAAGAAGCTTAAGAATTTAGTCTTGACAAGGGAACTTGCTGATGGATTTATAAAGTGGTTTCACTCTCAAGTGATAAATAATTCAGGCCTCTGCAGATGAGTAAGTAATTTTCTAGCAAATTGTTTCCCCAAAGCCTCTCATATTAGGCATTTCTAGCTTCATTACTAACAGGTGTCAGGAGAAGAACACAGCCTGACTTTGTAATTTGGAGTAGTGAGAGAAGAGACAGGAGACCTTTGTACCTCTGAACACCACACCTGGTGGCCTGGCATGATGAGAGTTGGTTTTCTGCTTTATGAAGCTTATTCAACCCTAGTCAGAGATTTTAGAAGGACTAGGTCTTAACTGTCTCAGTGACTTCTTGGATCCTCAGGTTGCAATCCTCCCAATCCGGGAGGATTCCACATGCCGCGGAGCGGCTAGGCCCGTGAGCCATGGCTGCGGAGCTTGTGCTCTGCAACGGGAGAGGCCACAACAGTGAGAGGCCCGCGTACCGCAAAAAAAAAAAAAAAAAAAAAAAAAATCTACAGTTGTTCAATTAATTTTTTAAAAACAACTTATTAAATAAAACTGTTCAAAACATTTTAATCAAGTGATAGTAAACTGTTAGGTAAAATTTCAAATAATAAAATTTCTGGTTACAAGGCACACTCAAATATGAGTAGGAATTTTTGTTGGAAGGAAGGCAAATCACAAGACCATACTCTGGATCCAGGATTGAGAAACTTAATAACTTTCATGGCTGGTCCTTGTGTTGATGTATGTAATTCTTCCTCTGCTTCTGTAGTGCACAGAGATGAACACACAAGTTCAAGTAGAGGAAACTGGAGCCCATGACAGCATTTTGTGCTGACTAAAATAGAAAAGTAGATATATTCATTAATAAATATTGGAGATGTTTAGCAATAAAGTTTTTTGCGGTACGCGGGCCTCTCACTGTTGTGGCCTCTCCCGTTGCGGAGCACAGGCTCCGGACGCGCAGGCCCAGCGGCCATGGCTCACAGGCCCAGCCGCTCCGCGGCACGTGGGATCCTCCCCGACCGGGGCACGAACCCGTGTCCCCTGCATCGCCAGGCAGACTCTCAACCACTGCGCCACCAGGGAAGCCCCAAGGTTCACTTTTATTGTCTA